CTCTCACTGATAGCTCCCCACTGGAGGGAGCTATCAGTACTACTGACAGTTACCATGCTGTCAGTAATACTGACACCTTCATACTGAATAGTATCACATAAATTATGTGACATAATTTTAGTGGATACTAACTCTGAGTATCCACTAGAGTGATATTATTCAGCTGCTCAGCAAACTAGCTGTTGACGACGAGACAATGTGAGGCTTGCACTGGGACTCCTTTTCACCACGCCGTTCATCGCTACCATCATAACTATGACGACGATCATCTGCGTCGTCTGGGAATCGCTTCCATTTGAGGCCCGGATCAGATATCATGGAGAGCTCAGGTTGAGAATTGGATGAAAGGATACGGTTCACCACTTGTGACATATCATACTTGGTTTGCCTTCTCGAAGCGTCACCTGTTTTTCTTCATCGACACCCACTGTGGGTGGCCCACAATAGCAGCTATTGAAAAGCAGCTCTTCGATATACGACGGAGTGCATCTAATGAAAACTTGCCCGATGATTCATGTCCCAATCTCAGTCCCAATCCCATTCATGTTCCAAGCTGTTAGACTCTACTCCGCCATACAGTAATGCTTCAAATGGTTCAACGAATCGATCACTTGCCGCCCTTGACTGTGAACTCAAGCCTAGGTTCGTTTCCAATGTGCGATGATAGATAGTAGACGATAAAGGTCCAGTATTGCTCATTAGAAAGCGTAAGACCAGGACTAAAAACACCGTCATGACTGAATCATCAACAAAAGAGGTACGAGACTGCTAGTACGTTGTTGTTCATCCATGTTGTTCAACATGTTCATCCGCCTCGGTCTAAAATTATCGAGGGCGGTACGTGTCACATGTCACGTACGTCGCACGATATAGCGCAAGATCGCTATGTGGAAAAATGGAGATTGAGTGGTCTCCTACCATGAGAATTGGGGGAAGTACAGAGTGACTATAGGCTGATGGGTGCTATAGGATGACACACTGATCGTCAATGCTGTTTAAACAACTACATATAGCCTGCATATTGAGCGTCTATATTGAATAAGTGTCCCAAGGAGCCGTGTATGACCTGCCAGAGAAAAGACATGTTGAAGCTTTCATTCTGTTAGCCCTGACCATACCCAGGCTGTGTTTCTGACGGTGAGGTTGGCATACTTGAGTAACACAACGTAGAGATGCGATCTGGTGAGTCGATTCATCAGAATCGTAGAACATCTCAGTCATGAGTCATATTTGATGAGCTCATCTTGACGAGGGGTGGTCATCGAACGAGCGAGAAAACAGCTTAACTTAGAATCACTGTGAGCTTTTCTCCAGTTGTCGTTTGCCCGGCTCCCTCCCAGTTCCGGGAGCGTTACCAATGACATAGATTATCCCATCAGCTGCGTAGCTGGACTCGCAGGGAGCCCTCGTTTAACAGCAGCGTCAATGACTCGGCACGATCATCTAATGAATTCCACCCTATCAAGCGATCCTCAACGAGTCTCAGTCCTTATAACGCCGGTAATGACTCCCTCTGCGCATAACGAATGTATATTTCTTCCTCGGCCTGGACTCCAAGCCCCGTAGTTCTCTTGGTGTTACACCACCTGCCCTACTTCAACCAACCAACGCTTCTGCACACCCACAAATTGTAATTCGATTCATTCTCGCAGATGATGAGTCTATTATTTCCCTGAGCTTAAGGAGCTGTTGTACATAAAACGCCCTCTTACCAAGGTTCACCTCGTTGTTGGCGGTCTCGGGTTCGAAGTGAGTTTGTCTTACGGTGTAGGATTCGCGATGGATTCGTCCCAATATTACTCCGCAATTTTAACAGCACAAAAATTCTATTGTGCAACTGCAAGTGCAACCCGAAATTGATGTTCTTATCCGCGAATTTGATTCTCTCACTCGCTAAAGTGATGGGGGAATACATTCCTGAAAGGTATCATAGTGCTAGAAACCGCGTCGACATAGCGTATTTGACCCTCTTCGCGCCGGGTGTCTTCGCTGAGTAACTTGGTCCAGCGAGTAACTCGCTGGACCAGGTTACTCAGCTGCGAGTTGAGCTTGATCGCTCGGGGTGGACGACACCTAGAGCATTCGCGGCGATGATTCGCCTCTCATGCACTGACATGGCTCCACTACTGGTTGGTCGATCAGCTAAAGGACTGACAGATTATGCGGCATAATTTATGCCTATGTGACAGATCGTATCTGTGGTTTGGCATAAATAGTTGTGTGTGTTATGTGATAATTCACTTTTCCTGAATTTCCCTCGCACAACACGATACCCCCACTATGTTATGTGGAGGAAGTATTTAATATGCGTCACGAAATCTATTGTGTAGTCCATCCCCAGATTCCGCCGACCATCAACCTGCGCCGAGCACTGGTAGAAGACAAACACTAGTCTAAATTGAACAACATCACAGTCATCATGAACACATGAACAGTCTGTATGAACAATCACAATCACTCAACGAGCGGTTAGCGCACCTACGTACACTGGGGCTGGGAGAAGGCCGCAAAGATGTTGACAATGCTTTCCGTCACTGAAGCAAACTTCTCCAGGAGGCCACCTATCAGCTCTTCAACACCAGCTTTGAAACTTGCATGCCCACGCTGGTTAGCTAAAGTGATGATACTCTGAATGGACTCAGAGTAGGGTTGGGCGCCTTTCAATAGCGTCTCTGGGCTCGAGTCCATCTCAGTGAAGTAAGTGAACATCATTGCACCCATCATGACCATCCTACCAACATTCAACCCCCGACCTTGCAGTAGGTTCTTGATCTCACTAGAGAGGCCTTGGACGATCTCAGCGATTAAGGCGACCATTTTCGATAGCCCGAGAAGTATGCTAGAGATCAACGGCGGGGCGAGTTCAGCAGACGCCCCAAGGACGGAGGCACCCACTGTAGCGACCATTGCTCCTACAGCTGTGCCACACTCGAACGCTGTCCTGGAGCACCCCAACCCACACGCCTTAACCAAGCCATTGGTATTCCGAGAGCAGTCAGTAGAGCATCTACCTGGGATCAAACTTGGTTGCATGCCAGCAGGACAAGACTTGTAGCATTTGCCCATCATGAGTGATTCACCAGGAGGGCAAGGAGGGTCCACCATTCGGCCGAAGCTACCGTCCATCGGGCATTTACACCAAAATAGGCGGCTGGTCTTGCCGAAGTAGTTCTGGAACTCGTCTCGACAAAAGTCTCGACAGTTCCTCTTACACTTCCAGCCGAATCCAGGAGAGTTGCCACTAAGGCCGGGACCTTCACACATCGCCTTCTTATTCTCCCTTTTTTTCATCAGTTTTCGCCAACAGAACTTCGGGCTCGACCGAAACGCATTCGTCCACTGCACAGACTTCTGTCTAATTTCAGCAAGCTCGCCAGTCTCAGCCAAAGTGGCCACTTCGTTCAAGTCGGCGTCGTTGATTGAACCCCACTTGTCCTCGGGCCAATACTCGCACATGAGCTTCATCACTTCACGATCTTCTCCCGAGACGGTATCGAGAATAGCACTGTGGCGACCACAAAGGTCATCCATAGCGACAC